TCTATACCATATACATATATATATATATATATATATATATATATATATATATTAATATAATATATATATCTACATATACATAACTATATATGTATATATATGGCTATATATGTAATATATATGTATCAGCATTGTATATCTTATATATATATATATTAATATATAATACATATATTACATATATATTACATGTATTATAGGTTATATACTATATGTATATATATAAGATCTAAAGTATATATATGATATCTATATATATAGCTGTTATTGTATGGGATATGTATTGTATCATGTATCTGTATATGTCGATTCTATACATAAATATATATAGATATATATGTCTATGTATAGTATATTGTCTATGTTATGTATATATTTTTATACCTACATATCTATATATATAATCTATATATATCTATTATCTCTATCTATTATATTCTCTAGATGTTATGTATATGTAATATATATATATAATATTATATATAATATATATTATATATATATATATACATATTATCTACTATATATATATATATATATATATATATTAGATATTATATCTAAATATACATAAATATATATATATATACCTTACATATATCTATATAACATATACATATACTATACTCTGTAATATATTATATCACCATATATATATAGATATCTATATATATCTAATATTCTATATATATATATATACATATACATCTTATATACCTATTATAGATTATATATATATATATATATATCTATATCTTATTATATATATATCTATATATATATCTATCGATATAGACATATATATAGTATATATAGATATATATATTATACAGAGATAGATATGTATATATAATGTATATATATATATAGATATATATATATCATATTATGTATATTTATATATATCTTTGTATAGTATATATATCTCTGTCTAGGTCTAATCTAATATATATATGTATATCTATCTTGTATATGTATCTATTCCTGTCTATGTATCTGGTATCTATATATATATATATATATATATATGATAGATATATTATATATATGTATATATTATATATTATATATATATAGTTATGTATATGATATGTATTAATAGGGATATGATTTATATATAAGTTATCTATGATCTATATATTATTAGCTATCTTTATATTAGGATATATATATATATATATATATGATATCTATATCTAATCTATATCTATCCTATCTATAGGTATCTCTCTATCTTCTATATATATTACATATTCGTATAATATATGTCTATATAATATATCTAATCTATATTATCTATCTATATATCGTATTATATCTTGATCTGTATCTCCTCTATCTGGATATGTATCGATCTATATCTATGTCTATATATATATGATTTTATGTTATATCTATGTATATGTTATATATATATGTATATGTCTATAGATTATATATATATTATATCTAATAATATCTGATGTCTATGTATATCTATCTCTTCTCTGCTAGATATCTGTCTTGTATCTATATATGTATATGTTATTCTACTCTATATAATTATATATCTCTCTATATTATATTCATATATATAGTATAATGTCTATGTATATGGATATGTATCTGTACTATAGCTCTATCTATCTCTATATATAATATATAATATATAGATGATATCTTATATATATGTATATGGTGTCTATGTCTATGTCTCTGTTATGTATCTCTCGCTATGGATCTGTATCTGTATATGTCTATATATGTATATGTAATCGTGTCTATATGTATATGTATTGTTATCTCTATATATATGATCGGTATATGTCATCTCTATTTGTCTATGTAGCTGATTATATATGTAATCTCTTGATATGTCTATCTATGTCTATATCGTATCTATCTGCTCTATATCTAATTGTCTCTGGATCTCTCTGTATCTGTCCATGTATGTCTATGTCTCTGTTATATATAGGTATATGTCTATGTATATACACCACTATCTATATGTAGCCTATTGTCTCTGACTATGCCACCCCTCCACTATATCTGCCCCCTCTAACCTGTACAGTTATGTATATCTATATATATGTATATGTATATATATATAGGTATATGTATATGTATATATATGTATATGATATATATATATATGTATGTGTGTGTGTGTAATATATATGTATGTAGGGTGTGTATATAGATATTATATATATGTAGATGTATTATAGTATATGTCGATATCTGTATATGTTATATAATATATATCATATATATATATCTATCATATATATATATATTATGTGGTGTGTGTGTGTGTGGGGTGTGGTGATGTGTGTGTGTGATATTTATATATAACTATATATATATATATATATATATAATACACACACACACAGCAATATATAGAGAGATATAGATATAATATATCTATATATATATATTATATATATATAGCATATATTTATTCTATATAATGTATGTATGTGTGTTGGTGTATATATATTATAGGAATAATATATAT